GTAGATTTTCCGTAACAAATATTCCCGTCGTCTTACCAGCCATGACATGCGAAGGGGAGAATTTTGTCATTTCGCATCATCCAAGCGTCTTCCTAATTTACACATTTGCGAGCTTGCCAATCAAATTCAAAATCACACCCACATCATTCTTTTCTTCGTTCTGTAAAGGGGAGAGCCAACACACTCACACACTAACTCTGTCTCCTTCTTTCGGGCCAACAGCCACTGAGAACGCCGAGAAAATGGTAATGTCGTGGCTAAATTCAATTTCCATGTTCGTATCAATTGATTTATCTGTTTACTCAGCAGAAATATCTCTTTTGCTTCGAATCTGCTTCGCACAAATTAGCTTCTAGGGTTTGGTTTAATTTCCTTATATTTGCTGCAAATTGTTGTTCCATTGCAAGCAATGAATGATTTCTGGTTGTAAAATTTCTGATTTTGGTGATGTTTAATTTTGTTGCGAGCATGCTTGATCTGTTATCTGTTTTACGCTGTATGTGCTTTTTGGTTTTTCCTTTTACTTTTTTAGAAAACGCTTAGCGATGAAACAAAAATTAGGGACATGGATGGGGTCTCTATGTGGCTCCTGGCTACCCTTCTAGGAAGTATATGGTTCCCTGCTCAGTTTTTAGCTGCGCCTGGCTCATTGTGGTGTGGCCTTACCTTCTCTTTCCGCATTGTTGTTCTATCAAAAAGGAAAAATTAGGGGCACAGTTTAATTGGATTTTTTTCTTTCAAAGGAAAGTGATAGATGCAATAACTCTTGAAATCTGGAAACTCCTTGTGTTTTTAAGGAGAACTTTAAGGTTTGTTTGGGTGGAAAGAGTATAGATCGATTTCATCAGCTGGTGTACCTGCGTGTTAAAAAGATGATTGGGTATTAAATGTACTATTTAGCCAAATATGAATGAGTGGGTACTATACACTTTTTTGGGGTTTGAACTAATAATATTAGAAAGGACAGTTTTGCTATAAAATGTTATGATTGATTTCTTAAGTCGATGTATCTAGATTTCAAAAGACGATGTTGTGTTGTTTAGCATGGATATTAGTCTTTTAACTAGTAACGAAATTAACTAAAAAAAAAATGAAATTACCTCTAACTAGTTTGTGGATGAGGAGTTATTTGAAGTTTCTTTTTTCTGTGGGGATTTGCTCTTTAGGTTATTAACGTATTTTGGTTGTCAAAAGGAAGATATTGACCAACTAATTGAAGCTTTTTTATCCCATTTTATATGGAATGGTATTGTGTTTGACCATCTTGGTGAGAAAAGACGGGAAAAAAAGTTGGCAGCATCAGATTTGTTCTGAAATTTTAATAGTTGAGATGTTGTCTTGTTCCTAAATGATAGTTTGAAGAGTGGATAACAATCTTCATTAGTGCTTAATAATTATCATTTTTTTCTTTCTACAATAAGCACACTCAACATTGTCACTGGGTTCCATGATTTCTGATTCATTCTTTGGTTTCCACCTGAGAGATAGTGGTACCTCTCTAGAAGAATCATTACGTGGGACCTTACCAGCATCATAATAGATGTCATTGATAAGCACACAGGTATTGTTTTGTAATATCATACTCTAAAATTCTAGATAAGTATGGGGTCTGACATCTTAAGCGTTATCGTCACTAGTGACTACATATTTAACTGGATGTGCTGTTGCTTTGAAATCTGCTTGTATTGGTGATAATAAGGTCAGTTCGTTAAAATTTAGATGATGCGTTGTGTACCTTTTGATTGCTATAAGATTCAAATTGAAAGAACATAGAATTCATGTATGATGTAACTTAAATCCAAAGAAATGCCTTTTTATGGCCCTTCATCTGTGTAAATTATACTGTGTTCTTTTGCTGGCAGGATGGGCATGATGGTGATGCTTCAAAGCAAAGCACTGCTGATATGACTGCTTTTGTAAGCATCCTTTCTCTGTGATTTATCCTGTGTTGTGAAATTTTGTTACATTTTCAATATCTTGTGATTACATATGGTCTTACTGGTTGTCAGTTACTGTTGACTAATTTTTCATTCTCAATTCTGGCGACGTATGTCTGAGCGTTTGCTATCTGGTTGAAAGTTATCCTTATTATGCAATATCTGATATTGTCTCTTTGTGCTAGTCGCTGACTATGTTTATTTTTAACAGGTACAAAACCTTCTTCAACAAATGGTATGTCTGCATCTTCTTTTTCCTTCCTTATTGTGGTCTAAGTTTCTTTATTATTTTCATTTCACTCTGAATCTGCACCATTTTCTTCTTTCTATAGCTTTGGGCTGTAATATATTTGTTTTAGTCATGCACAAACTTTTAAATAAGCTGTGTTGACACTCATACACCATTTCTATTTCAGCAATCCAGGTTTCAAGCAATGTCGGAATCAATTATTACAAAGAATATCCTTCCATTTTATCCATGTCCATTCTGTTGATGAAATAATGACTTTGATATCTTTGTCTTATAAACTTCTCTTAGATGCTGTATATCAATTTAGTTTAGTGCAAAAGTTATCTGTTGTCTGTTCTAATTTCTTGCCTTCTTTGCTCGGAAATCTAGTCATTAACTTCTCATGTAGTTAAGACTATAGCATGCAGCTCCCTCTTGTTATGTGGTGCCAGCATTAATCTGTGATCTCCAAAGGAGGAAATACTGTTCTTATACAATAGGTGGAGATTTGCAGTCAAAGGGCAGTTTGGACCTTTTGCTTTGTTGTTGTCAAAGTTGCATGAGTAGTTTGTATGCCATACATGCGCAATAATAATTGTATTGGACATTTCAATACTTTTTCTGATTTTTTTTTTTTTTTAGAGTTTACATGGTAATTATGGTGTTTTAAGCAATTGAATTTGGAAATTGGGGTTGTTGTTAGATAGGCCCCATTACACCTTGGTTTCTTCATACGGTGTCAAACGTTGAGGCACTTGGATGGACCAAAAAATGTGTTAACTGAAGTTTGATTGTCTTTCTTATAGTGATGTTGATGTTTTTGGTAATCACTGTTTAAATACAAGATTTAGAACTCTTCTAGAATGCTATCATTAAATTCATAGATGCATTATTCCCGTGAAGAGCTGAATGTGTCATTTAGTTATAGAAGAAAACGAGGAAAAAGAGGAAAAAGAAAAGGGGGGAAACGAAAACTTCTTAAGTTGATATATGCCAGTTTACTTTTTATTTTGTGCCTGCTGTCCTCCAAATGTGAAGTACATTTTGCTTTCATCCATCAATGAGATTCAGGGCCTTAAGGCATGCATTTTCTTAACCATGTTTCCACTTGATGAGATGGGCAACCGGATTGATGAGTTGGAACAGAGCATCAATGATCTTAGAGCTGAGATGGGTCAAGAGGGCTCTCCATCTCCGTCAGCACAGCCGAAGTCAAAAGATGAGCCAAAGTCAGCTGATGATTCTGCTTAGATTGAGCAATGACATGTTGCGTTGGATATTTGTGGGTTGGTCATGATACTATTAGTTGGAAACAGTAAACGATAATTTTGTGACTACTTGGAATGCCTAATTTCATCTGCCATGGCATTCTCTGCCTATCATTGTACCAAGATACGGAGTGCCTTCTGGTTTGCCGGTTTTATTCCTTAAATCTCTCTGTGAATCGTGTAGAACTTGAAAAGCGTTATAAGAACTCACTTGGTTGTTTGTTCTTATAAATATCGAGAATGACTGAGTTTAAAGTGCAGCGCCATTTAATACAAATGGTTTCTTTGTACTGGTAGATAGTGTACTTTTACACGTGCAGCTGCAAGTCCATGCAACCTGGCTGGTGGCAACTTGCTGAATCCCATAAATTGTGAAGGATCCAGGTTCTACTGCAAACATCCCATAAATTGTACCTTTTTTTGATCCTGAAAGCTCTGAAAATTTCCAGCTCTGAAAATTTCCTTGGTGGGAATGATTTTGCAGTTAGTATTAGTTCTATAGTTGTGGGACATAAAATGTGTGCCTTAAAACCCGGAGCATGTGATGGTTGCCATTGGTCAGTTGATAAAGACCGGTTTTCCTGATTTTAATTGAAGAAAATAATTGATAGCTATGTGTGAGGTTTCTCTTTGTTCAGGATATGACAGTGACCTTAGAAATCTGTCGGTGACTTGTGTACTTGATGGTTTTTTCACTTTATTGGCTGTGGTCTGCGTTCCGACTGCTAATTTTTTGTTGTATTTCAACTGAGGTTGGTGTCGCATCATTTTTCGATAGGGTTTAACTTTGGGGAGATTACTTTTCTGTTTTGAACACAGATGAAAATCATGAAATGGCATCTCATTATCCATTTCATTTCATTAAAAATGTGTTACCTTACCACTACCAACTCAAGTAGTACTATGATATGAGTATATGAAACCTACTAATTTAGTGCTTGCTATGCCCATGCTTTGTTTCTCCGAGGCTGTGATGCTCCCAGTCCGCAAACTGTGGAATTGTAACGTTATTTCTCTTTGTTTTTGGTCCTTGTTTTTATTCCTTTATTGATCATTGTCCTGAATTCGTAGCACCTCTTTTGGGAATTGGTCCTTCAAACCATTATTGCCGGTAAATCAGAAAATCTTCTTGCTAAACTTAGAAAGTAAATGAAGGTGTAGATATATTGCACTGTTACAGAAAGGCCTATCTTTCATCAATCATCATTGGGCGAGTGAGTAAACTGCTGGTTTTTCTTACCCCCCACAAAAAAAGTAAAATGCTGGTTGCGGCCTCTCTGATTCTGCGTCCATACGAGTTAACCCATTTCATTCATGGCAAATGATGGCTAAAGTTGAGAAATAGGAAGCCCAGCAAAAATGCAGAATACAGCTTTCTGCTCAAGAATTATGGAATCCATCTAGTGGGATATGGTTTTCAATTAGTCATTGGTCCCGAAAGAAACCGACCAACACTCACAAATCCCAAAATTGAAAAAAAGAAAAAGTTCTCCACAAAATAAAGGAGGAAGCAGAATCCTTTAGATCTTACGAATTGCATATCCAGCGATGATTTCCCCATCCATCAATCAGAATGACCAATTTTTGTTTCAAGAGGTAGAAATTTTATGACGACAAATGCATCCCTCATACCGTAAACGAGAGAAACTGACAGGCAAAATTATGCTGAGGAAAGCAACAAAGAAAAGTAATGATGATGCAGAAACAGAAACAGCTGGCTCATTCCAAAATTAAAATAATAGTAATAATTTAAAAAATAAAATTAAAAAAAAGGCAGCAGTAGACCATTTAGTAGGTAGCGCAGCAATAAAATACTATTATTGTCATGAACAGATAGATATGCCCGTGACCAATCCATTTTTGAACAAGGTCCAGAAACCACCGGAATTAGTGAGGCTTCACCGGCGGCAACGGGTGATGGCATTGCAGCCTCGGTTGTAAGGATTCACCGGACGACCAGGTCGGCAGTTGTAGTAAGAGTAACCCCGTCTGGAACATGGTACTCTGTCCCTCGTCAGCGCACTGTAGCTAATGTACCTTCTCCTCCAATACAAAATGCGCCGGTTGGTTTCTGAGTCCATCTCCAGCTCCTCTTCTTGCTCGCTCATCAGGCAGCTCTCAATTGAGCCCCCATTGCAGAACGACGCCGTCGAGGTGGTCACCGCCGGGAAGTAGTAGCTGAGCTCGTGGGACCCACTTGCTGCATCCCCCACGGCCCAGAATGACACCAGCATTGTCGCTGCAAACAGGGTTGCTGAGATCAAGAAAAGCCCAGCACTTGGCTTCACCATTCTGCTTTTCCTTTTCCTTTCTTTTTCCTTTGCGAAACTTGGGGTGTGGGCTGGGTTTCTGGGTTTTTTTTTTCGTTTGGCCTTCTCTGTTTGCTCTTCAAAGCTCAAGAGAAGTGAGAAGAAAGGAAAAGAGCCTTGGCTCTAGGGAACAGGAGAGAGAAAGGAGGAGATGGAATTATATGGGAAATTGGACTTTGAGAATGACCTTGACGTTATGATTATTTATGGACCATGCCATTTTTTTAGCAATTTTATTATATGTTGTTATATTTTTCACTTTACCTTTTTGTGACAGCAAGCTTTGAGACTTGGAAGCAAATGTACACGACTGGAAAAATCGAGGATTTATTTGGATTGTTTTTTTTTTAAAAAAATTTACTATAACAATTTGACGCATGTAAAATAAAAAAGTAATTGAAAAATATGTTATAGCATTTTTTCTTTGGAAATTTGCAATTCAAATACACTCATATGCAATAGCTAATTTGGGTGTAAAATTAAGACCTATGATGTGTTCAACTGGACTTGGAAGTGTTTTAGATCCTCTAGGAGGCATTGCAGGCCACGATGTGCCACCTTTAAGCTATATAAGCTGTGGACATTTATTCGGGTTGGTGTAACACTCTACTATAAGGTTTAGAGGATGAGATGGGGTGGTTGAGTGGAGGTAATTAATCGATGGTGTGTTTGAATTGCAATTTTTTAAAGAAAAATTGTTACGTTTTATGTAAATATATTTTTTAATCAATTTTTTTCTTATATATATCAAATTGTTACAATAATTTATCTATAAAAAAGTTTAGAAAAATGCAATCCAAACAGAGATCGAAATGTCTAGCTTGGTTGGTATGTCTAGCTTGGATGCTGATTTTTTGACGGTGGATGGATGCAAGGGTGGCTCCAATTTGGAAAAATTATGATCACGAAGTAAAAGTTCATTCAATCATGCATGCATTGATTAAATGTCCCTTTTTTTTTTTTGCTTTTTTATCTTCAAACTCTACCAAAAAATGCAACCACCATAATAATATATATCTACTTCTGGTTGATGTTTTTATTGTTTGTTATTATCCTACCTGCGGCAAAACAAATTCGAAGCAACAAAGTAGCAAGAGAGACATTCATTTACTTAGAGGCCGTTTGGATTGTATTTTCCGTCATTTTTCATGGAAAAATTACTGTAGCGATTTGATGTATGTGAGGGAAAAAGGTAATAGGGAAATGTGATCACGGAAAACAACACAATTTTTCGGCGGAAAACCGCAATCCAAACAAGGCAAGCAATTCATGCTTTGAACCCCAAGCATTTACTATAAAAGCCTAATTTTGCTGCATGGACTTAAATTCCAGCACCGCTTCCCCATTACGCACGCCACCCCTATCTCTATGTGGCCAGTTTTTTTTTTTTTTTTTTTGGCTGTGCAAAGTTGGATCTTAATTGAAGCCAGCCCAGATTGTATCAATCATCTGTGACCATTTTAAAATTTTACCATTTCCGCGTATTCTTTTTCCTTTTTCTTGGCTGAAGCACTACTACTACTATAACTACCGTTTTGAAAAAGTCTCCCCCTGTTTACAAAAAGCTCATCACTCAATTTAGAGTTGTTCTTCGTGTCTGTCTTCTACAATTACGTGTGCCACCACGAACGTGATTTGGCAAATCAACAAGCTCCACATACTAACACTACACCGCATTGTATTATGATTAGTCAAATCAGATCGATTGAGTTCCACTCGTCACCAGCTGTCAACCACTTACTCCGTTCCCTCTCTTCTGGTTTACGGTAGGACGCCACCCGCTCACATGTGTAATTCCACTAACGAAAAAGATGGCCTTCCCTTCCGGCAAAAGAACTATTGGAACTTACTGTGTTGGTTAGGCTAATAGGCTGCAAACCAATCAAACTACTCGTATTCAAACCTTGGTGGGGGCGAGAAACAAGGTTCAAACTTTACCTCCTATCAAAATATCACATTTAAATGATTTGTTTTAAAAAATTCAGACAGGTGTATTGTGTACTTATTTGGTTCGGTGGTGGTTCAGTTTCCTTCGGGTTATTCCTGGATCTTCTTAGGTCCGTCCCCTCCCCTTTAGTGTAGAATAGATTAGGTTATACAACTGTTGTCGTTTTTGGAAAAAAAAAATACGCGAGTGTGTTTAGCCAAAGGTCGAGTTTCAATTGCTACTTACTCAATAAGAAGGTAATTAAAAGTTGAGCAATGCATTTATGATAGAAAAAATTAAAGTTCGAGCACTGGTCGAACCTTATTGAGCAGTGCATTTATAATATAATTTTTAATTATTTAGTATAAAATCGTGAAAGATTAACTAAAAAAATCAAGTTCAAAAATTCAATTGAGATTGATTAAATTTGATTGAACTTGAGTTTGAATTCGAGTTCAAGTTAAAAAAAAAAAAAAACTCAAACTCGAGCTCGACAAATTCAAATTCAAGCATTTTTTATTCGAGTGAAACAACTCGAATTCGACTTGATTCGGTAACAAACCTTGTTAGTAGATGTTTTGTGGCTTTTGACAAAAAAAGTAAAACCCAAAAATTTCCCTTGCAGCAGCTGAAAGGTTTGACTAATTAGTAGACCATGTCTTAGTTAATTAGCAAGGCCATTCTCTCATTTCAGGACAGGATCCGTTCCGTGTGACACAGCCCTTTTTCTCTTTTGTTTTTTCCCCCGAGAATTAGCATATAGAGGATCCAATTTGTCAAAGAAAAAATTAATACTAATAAAGAAAGTTTGTGGGTAGCTTTTGGGCTGTATTAGAAAGTTTTCAAGCATACAGACAAGGACACGTATTGAACTATTTGATGCCGAAGCAAACAAGGCCTTTGTTGAACTCATCATTCACTGGCCCAGAGTTCCCGCCCGTCTATTCTTTATTCTTTACGAGGGTTTCCTTTCCTATACGTGTGGGTGCACCAAAGGGACGAATTAGATCCAGTTATTTGCCGTCCCCAATAAAGCTTCGTGGGCCGGGAAAGACGTTGACTATTGGGTAACCATAGCCCCAGTCACAAAGGTTTTTATTTGAACTCTTTAGAGAAATGTGTTTTACAACTTGGGGCTCATAACATAACCATTATTCATCAAGGGCTATCTATGGTAACCATTCAATGAAGTCGATAAGAACCTTTGTGAAAAGCAATGTTTTTAAATCTGGATCAGAAAATGAATTGGAAACGCTTTTGGTTTGTGATTCGCTCGATTCAAAGGTTTAATTAGTATTTTTTAAAATTATTTTAATTTTAAATAATGTGTAAAGATGTAATATTTATTTTAAAAAGTAAAGAAGTCAGTAAATTTGGTTGAATCATCCAATTTTTACTGGTTTAATTAATTTTTTTAATCAAATTTGACCGGTTCAATTAAATTTTTGGCTCAGCTATTGATCAGATCGGAGACATGACCAGTTGACGGTTCGACCGGTCAAACCGGCCATATTTTCAGAACACTAGTACAAAAAGCAAGAAAGAGGTTGGTTGCTTTTAGAGTTTGTTTTATTTTATGACCTAGCAAATTAAAAATTATATTACTGAGCTAAACTGAAATTATCTATACTTGTTGTACATAAAAGCAAAGATAGTTTGAAAGACAAAGACATTACAAAATTCGGAATGCTTTCAAGGTTTCAAACTAGGTGCTACTCATACCATATATGATAATCTATAGAAGAAGAATGCAAATTTTACACGACCACGAATTTTGTCCTTATATGGAATAAATTAATTTAAACAGAATTTTCATCCAAAAAATTTTTTTTTTTGTCTAAGCTGGAGAAGGATAGACTGATGTACTCCCCCCAAATCCGAAGACAGCAGAACTAGTTTCCTGACTGTTCCTTCATTCAATTTTCTAGGATGGTATCTTTTTCTTCTCCATTACTTTTCAGACGTTCACACCGGCGGATGCATATATTCATGCCACTTGCATTAACCAAGGTTTTGACATCAATGGTTGTGAATGGTTCATGGTTAATCTACAACTATACATCTGCACTTCAATTCTGTAATATTTCAGCTTAGATCTGTCATGTAACATAGCATTTGTATCCAATGATGAAGTTTAACCAAGGTCATGATCATCAGCACTATTGAGTTTGGCAACACTTCTTCATGAGAAGATAGGATCGAAAAGGGATTTCTAAAATAGGAGAATGATTGATGGCAATCTAAGTTTCGAGCATTGTTTTGTTTCTTGTCATTCCTCAATCAACCCGGTTAACTTCAGTCTATACCATGGTTAATATCTGCATCCCAAGTTTAGTAGTCCTTTAATTATGATTGCAAAATGGAATCAAAAGAGTTGGTGAAGCCGCGGTTTGTGTTGGATGACCAGCTAAGCATTCTTAGCATATTTTAATTCTAAAGTTAACAATGACTTGTGGAAATCCTGTGGCAGCCACACGCCTTTATCTGTTTATTATTATCTAGAGAATTTTATAGTCAAAGCAGTCTTGCCAAGCATCTCCCCGGTATTGCCTGTTTTAGCATTTCTGCGGATCTTAGCTTTCAACTCAAATTTGAACTCTCCAGCAAACATGCTATAAATTGCAATCTCCAAACCTTGTGAACTCCGCATCAAACTCAACATCGCTCTCTTTATTTCTCATAATTATCCAAGAACATTAGCTTAAGTTTAGACCTATATACACTTCAGCATACTAGGATTAATCAGCTTCATTGGGAAAAAAAAATGGCATATCTGTTCACTTGTTTGACAATTTTTCTTGCAACTTTTTTGAGCTATTCAGCAAAAGTTGCATCTTTGCAAGTGGGCTTCTATCGAAAGACATGTCCATCAGCAGAAGCTATAGTGGAAAGTGTTGTAAGCCAAGCATATGCTAATGATTCAGGGATAGCTCCTGCTCTCATTAGACTTCACTTCCATGACTGTTTTGTCAGGGTAATGGATCTTAGATACTACGCATATGGTTCCTTTTTTTTTCCCCTTAAAACTAATGCATGCAGTTTGGTTTGAATGAATAGTTGCAGCCATCTGTGCAACTACATGGCATCATTCATGATTGTCGAAACTGTTATTTTAGTGCTACTTAGTAAAATACTTCATGGTAATTTGCAGGGTTGTGATGCATCGGTTCTTCTGAATTCAGTACCAGGAAATGTTGCTGAAAAAGATGGCCCCGCCAACTTTGGTGTACAAGGCTTTGAGTTGATTGATG